TTTTAGGTTGTATGTACAGAAATATTGAATACAAGTTTAAAGAGGTTATAATTCAATTGCATAGGTCATTAGTTAGACCACATTTTGGAATATTGTGTTCAGTCATGGACTTGTTTGAACGGGTTCAGAGGAGGGCTACTAGGATGATACGTGGGATGTGAACGTGCTGTTATACAAGGATAAGTTAAGATCTCTGAAATTATTTCCATTGGAAAAAAGAAGAGTTAGAGTGGATCTGATTGAGGTATTTAAGATTATTAAGGGATTTGATATTGTTGATGCATCATCCTTTTTGTATTTAATGGTGAGAATGGTAGGACTAAGGGATACAACTATAAATATTGGCAAGGTAGCAGTCATTTTCAGCTAAGACAGCTTTATTTTTCTAACAGGTGGCTGTCCGTTGGAATAGGTTGCCTTCAGAAATGGTAGATGCAGTTAATTCAAGAAAGTTTAATAGAAGGTTCAACAAATGGTTGAATGATAAGGATTAGCTTTGAGTATTTTATTTTTATTTTAGATTCCAATATAATATATAACCTTTGTTCAGATATAACCTTCCCAGTTCACTGCTGCCATCTCTATGCAAACTTGTGGTATCCACCTAAACTCGTATGTTTCCACATGATTTTGCTGTGTTGCTCCATGGAAATGAGCATGCAACAACACTCCACTAATGGGAGTGGAAAGCACACTCTTAGCACAGCTGATTCCCTGATGGTTTGGCAATAATTTGTTTAAAACATCTGCATAAATTTTTGACTATATTATTTTTCAGATGTTTTTTTATTTCTGCTGCAATTTCATATTTTATCATGAGATATTATACCTGTTTCATATCTTATTATGAGGTTGTTTTTTTCTGTTCATATATAATATTTCATCATGAGATATTTTATAACAGTATTCTGAGTTCTTAGCAAAGTTTATACTTGAACACTTTATATAACATGTGGTTTTTAGTGTGCTACACATCTGTTCATATATTGTATGTTCTGCACCTGTTTCAGGCTATTTATGTACTGCTTTACAACATACAGTATACCAACATGTAAGGAAATGAAATCTATAAATCAATAATCATTCTTTTTAAAACTAAATTGTCATGTTGTTGTGTTATGATTCCTCTTATGTTAGCTGAAATATTTCTGTTAAAAAAGGAAAATTATTAGTAATTGATTTTGCAACAAATATTTATTTTTGTTTAACCAGACCCTTTTAACTTCAATTTTTATCTTTCCCTAGGCTAAATATGATGCTAACCAAGCTAAGAAGAGGGCAGCATCACTCCCATACACAAAAAGTGATAGTAACTTGCTATTCAAGTACCAAAATGCAAACCACGTACCATTTATCCATATACCAGAGAAAACATATGAAAACAGATATATGGGAGTTCTTCTTTCTCCTCATAATCATCAAGGTAACCATATACCCAAGGCTGGACCTCAGGAAATATGATATGATGGTGAATAAGTGTCTGATGTGTGTGTGTGTTTATACCTGTAATTAGTAGGAAGAAAATTTATGTGATAAATAATGATATGAATCTAATGAAATAATACATTAAAGAGAATGCACTAAATTTTGTGTTTTGTGAATAATATCACTACATGATTGTTATGGACAAGGGTAGGCTTAGCATGTTATAGTAGAAAGTGTCATTGTGTGGCTCTCTTAGAATGTTATTACATTCTCACATTACTGTATGTGGTGTAAGCTATTGTACACTCACTTGTGTTACATATTATACTCCTATAACACACAACTTCATTTATTTTATAAACTAAACTTGCGTGATATTTCTTGTGTGATTGATCTTTTTCTTTACAGTATGGGAATATGGGTTCACCTGTATAAAATGCTATAATTAAACATTAAATCATGACACATATAGTTTGACTTATTGGCGAGAATTATGGGAACATAGCTCCACACAAACTGAGTTCTAAATATAATGTCAGATCTTCACATTTCTGTAATAATTGAGCTTATAATATTATAAGAATGTGTACAGAAATCTGTAGTCTAGCCTTAGATTCTTATATTTTTAGCTCTTCTACTCTTTCTATAAGTAGAAAGGTTCACACAGGCTGAACTCTGTACTAAGTTTTAAATTTTGACATTTTTTATCATTGTGTGCACAGTGTGATTTGAGAGTAGAAGCCAATACATGCTAAAATGTATGGTACAAGTTTTGAATTTGAAGTCTTCCAGCTTGGGCAGTTTTCATACATAGCTTTTGAATAACATTGTTATTTCGCTAATGTTTTGAATTTGATCTCCCTTTCAAGTGTTAAGACTTTTGTACAAAGCAGTTTAATTCTTTTGCCGCCAAAAGCAACTGTAGTTGACAGAAATTTAATTGTCTTTGACAGTGGAGATAATTTTTTCCCCCGTGCCTGTCAAAGCATTTTTCCCTCTACAGCAGAAAGCAACAACCTTCCATGAGCTTGAATCAACCACCAGACACCAGTTGTGCTGACATCTGGGAGTGTGAGTAGGAAACATAAGTATAAAAATTCCCCAGCTGGCAGACAGTGCAAGGTACCCATACCTACTGAGCTATCAACTGATTGTCATATTTTCTCGGTAGTTTTACCATAATTTTACCATAACTTCAAGATATGCAGTGTAGGTTTGTCTTGTATATCATAATGCAGTGAAATATACTGCTGATTGTTTATGTTTTTTGATGGAGAAATGACATTGGTTGGGGACGGACTATGAAATCCAATTATGTGGCGAAAGGGTTAAGAGTATCATCTCAATAATGTGGTAGTGCACAGTGTATTATATTGTGATGCATTCTTAACTGACTTGTGAGCCAGGTGTGGTTAATGTCCAGACTATGAGTCTAAGGGTCCATGGTTAGTGCCACTTGGACAGAATATCTTGGTCTACACTTTGAAGACATGAGAGCATTATAAGAGTGGTGGTCAAATCCTACTATTTGTTTAGAGTATTCCAAGAGTTAATGGTAGGTGCTGTTGACTAGTCTATCAGCTCAAAATTAGGGATGGCTAGCACAGGTCACCATTGTTGAGCTTTACACAAATTTTGGAAACAAACAAACTTGTGGTCTTGAGAATTAAATGTCTTTAGAATATCATATTGGGATATCTGAAAAATTAAAATAACGGATATCAGCTTTGTGTGTGTTTATGTTTTTAGGTGAAATTTGTGGAAATATTTTTCTGTTTGAATCACTTGACGGTCTGCATAATACTATCTTAACAAAAGATTTGTATTTGGTAAGTTTTGATAATTCTTTTTTTTTAACATTTGGCAAAGATAACAGTGAAGGTAGTCCATGAATGTATTTATGGCTCAGAAACTTGACAATGGTATTAATTGTAGTGAAAATATATTGTGTCAAGGACATAGCTTTCTTAATGTAATAAACTCATGCTGAAGGCTTCAGTTTATTAGATGAACATTTTCTGATATTTCAGTAATGACTTGCATTTATCAGTTTTACTTTTTTTTTAAATGTGCCAGTGATTTTTATTATGTAAGTAAGACTTCTATTTATATGTTTAACCTTTTCTAATGTGTCAGTTATTGACTTGAATGTGTGTATTTGACTGTTTTTAATACATCAGTGATGACTTATATTTATGTGTTTAACTTTTAATAATGTGTCAGCGATTTAATTTTTGTTCTTTTTAGTATTTCCCGATTTGTCAATGATGACGTGCACTAAGGTGCTCGACATTTTTTGGATGTCTTCCAGTGACTTGTAGAATACCTTTAAAACTCTAAAATTTTGTTTTCTGTGGTGTCATGTTAATATTGTTTTTTCATAGATTTAGGAAATGAGAAAAATACATGATGTAGCATTTTTATTTAATTAGCTTTAAAAACTCAAGAAAATAAGTTAATATTTAAGTTCGATTTAATTTTTATGTTCTCTGTATGTTATAGAATCAAATAAAGTGACAAATTTTGCATGGACAATGATTTCAAAAACAGTTATGTGTAACCTGTAATACAGTTAAGTATAAGTAATAGTTATTTCAGACTGAAACATATTAGCTATAAATGTCTTGAGGAAATGTACAGTTAAGTTTAATAGCCCAATGTTGGCAATATGTTTGTCAGTTAAAGTCACAAGTTGCTTACTGAATTTGTACAAGTTGTAAGTTCGAGTGAATAAGTTGCATTTGATATATATGTAAATTAATACAAGACCTATATAAATGTATGAAAATATAAAGTTTCTGTAATATTAATTGCTTCAAGTGTTTTAAAATTAATCTTGTTTATAGTTTCAAAATTGAGGAAAAACAAGACAATTGTACGTTTAACAAATACATCATTTAATCATGACCATGGTTTTACTAGTAAAGACATCATCATTTTCAGTTCTGTAATTATGAAGTTTCACCAAGTACCAATGGTTTCAAGTATCAACTATGTAGTTTATAGTTATCATTTATTATATTGTGTGCAAGTACAATGGCTACAGTGTAGACAATGATTTATAAGATATGTATGGTAGTCCAGTAATCAGGTTTGGGGAAGAAAATTGCACAGTTTTACTACTCAAATTTCCATTGAAATAATCTATTTTGTTAGCCAGAACCTTTCATAAACATTGATTTTCTGCTCTTAATTTTTACATGTGTATGTTTTTATTAGAGCTTATACATGAAATGTTTAGTATTATGTAGATTTTTATTTTACATTTCATTGACCCTATCATTAAATGCAACCAGTACATCTTAGAAAAGTTACTATTGACTAATTTGCTCGGTGGTATACCATTACTTGTGGTTGCCAGTTGATCAATCGGTAGTGCTTTTGTAGCTAACTTATAAATTTGTCTACAGTATTATTACTTGTATTTGCAGTTTTTGGAAATAAATTTAGTACTAGTGACCACACAAGACATTAACATTATGCTAGTCACTTTAATGTATAAATATTTATAATAACCTTATTTGCTTAGTTTTCAGATATACTAATGTTTGAAAGAAAAAACTAAAGCATTAGCAAAATGCAGGTTTAAAACTGTTATTCAAATAATAAATCAAACTCATACAGTAAAGGAAACCAAGTGTACAAATAAATAGAATCTTTATTCACATAAATATTTGTATAAATTATCACACTTCTGGTAAGCTTTTATTTGTATGACTGTTGTCTGGCTGCTCGGGTGGAGGATGGGAACACTAGAGCTGGAAAAAGAGATCAAAATCGTAAAAAGGGATCATGGAATAGCCTGTAAGCCATTATTACATACTTGAACCAATAATCTATATACAATTCTACAGTATCTGAAACAAGTTTTTACAAGCTTGTGTATCTCAGCTGTTTGAATTTATTACCTTTTTAGTAAAAATGTATACATGTTAGCTTGTGACTTAGAAATAAAAGTTTTAGTACGTAACTTTTATCCATCTAAAAAGATAAGTGTGTTCCAAACTTGCAGGATCAGGTCAGCAGATATAATTAAAATGTGAAACTGTATGGAAATTAATAAAAGTTATCTAAGTATTGTGGAATAAATATAATTTTCTACTAGTTATAGAAGGGTGAAGTGTGTAGCTGTTCCAATCGAGACACTCAGTACTAACTTTCAAGATTCTGGTTGATATTTTTTTATTGCTAAATGTTGTAATGTGACAGAATTGTTTTTTACTTTGAATTGAATAGAAATTGTTTTGTTTGTGTAATTCAATTTTAATTTTGTGTAAAACCCTTTGTGTTCTTATTTTTAAGTTATAAAGATCTAATATTTTGTGAAATTAGTTTGTGACTACGAGATGAAATATGTTGGACAACCATCGGAACTAGTTTTGCTGAGTAAGTGTTAGATGATAAATTATGGACTATTATCATAACAGTGAAACCATTGTAAAGAATATGAGTTACAAATGATAATTCTGTTTTGACCACAAGGGTTTACATTCAGTGAGAATGCTGAGAAGTGATCTCTTATGAGTGTCTAGAATGTGGACTTAAGTTAAACTTGTCATAAAGTATTTAAAATGAACAAATGTAATGAAAAGTCATTTGTTTCAATAATATATTTTTTCATTGTTTTTATTGAAGAAATTAAATAAAATTTACTGTTCAAGAAAAACAAAGCCATCTATCTGTTTTTTAAAACTAGCAGAATAGTACAGTATGAAGGCTGCTTCCTGTATTATATAACATCCTGTAGCATATATGTATTAATTAAATCGTAAACAGTGAAATATACTATTATATAAGTTATAAACAGTGTAAGGATACCTACATGTGTCAGTACTGTATTATATAAATTATAAACAGTGTAATGATACCAACATGTGTCAGTATTGTATTATATAAGTTATAAACAGTGTAATGATACTGAAATATGTCAGTACTGTATTATATAAGTTATAAACAGTGTAATGACACCGACATGTGTCAGTACTGTATTATATAAGTTATAAACAGTGTAATGACACCGACATGTGTCAGTATTGTATTATATAAGTTATAAACAGTGTAATGACACCTAAATTGTGTCAGTATTGTATTATATAAGTTATAAACAGTGTAATGATACCAACGTATGTCAGTACTGTATTATATAAGTTATAAACAGTGTAATGATACCGACATCTGTCAATACTGTATTATATAAGTTATAAACAGTGTAATGATACCAACGTATGTCAGTACTGTATTATATAAGTTATAAACAGTGTAATGATACCGACATCTGTCAATACTGTATTATATAAGTTATAAACAGTGTAATGATACCGACATCTGTC